TTCCTTCCTTCCCACCTTCCTTCCTTCCCACCTTTCTTCCTTCCAATATCTCAGGGGTTGCCCCAAAGAAGAGGGGGTCAAACTATTCTCCAAGGCACCTGAGGGTAGGACAAGAAGCAATGGGTGGAAACTAATCAAGGAGAGATCCTTCCTTCTCTCCTTCCTCACTCCCTTCTCTCCTTCCTTCCATCTTTCTCTCCTTGCTTCCTTCCTTCCTCCCTCTCTCTTCTCCCTTGTAAGATCTAATCACTATATGGAAACATTTATGCCAGAAATGTCGCACTATGTCCAATGTTTTTAATGTTTATCTAATAAAAAACTTTTTAAAAAAAGATGTCCGATATAGGAGACGAGTAGGCTGAACTGGAAGGCGGGGTTAAACGTGTTATTAGTTTGGAATTGTTGCATTGCTGCAAGAGATCAAGTCCAACACACACAAACACAAATAATTCTGCTGACTGTTATCAAGCCCCAATTGAGCTTTGACTGTTTGTTGGCCCAGATTCTTGTGTACGCACAGTCCTCGACTTACAACCATTCATTCAGTGGCTTTTTTTGAAGATATAACAGCACTGAAAAAAGTGACTTATGACCCCCTTTTTCACACTTACAACCTTTTACCATCCCCAGGATCACACGATCAAAAATTGGATGCTGGGCAACCAGATCATATTTACGACCCATATTTGTGTCCCAGGAGGTCACGCGATCTCCTTTTGCGACCTTCCGACAAGAGAAGCCAATGGGGAAGCCTGATTCACTGAACAACCGTGTGATTAACTTAACAAACTGCGGTGATTCACTCAGCGACGGTGGCAAGCAAGGTCGTAAAATGTGGGCAAAGCTCGCTTAACCAATGTCTTGCTTAGCAACTGAAATGCTGGGCTCGAATTGTGGCCGTAGGTTCGAGGACCACCTGCACAGATAGCAATAGCCAACTCTTCAGTGCTGTGAACTAAGAGCCGAGGTGGCGCAGTGGTTAGGGTGCAGTACTGCAGGCCACTTCAGCTGACTGCGATCTGCAGTTCAGCTGTTCAAATCTCACCGGCTCAGGGTTGACTCAGCCTTTCATCCTTCCGAGGTGGGTAAAATGAGGACCCGGATTGTTGTTGGNGTATCTAGGTACACCCATAATCGCTCGCGCGGCTGCGTTCTGGACTAACTGTAGTCTCCGAACACTTTTCAAGGGCAGCCCCATGTAAAGCGCATCAAACGGCAAGGCCCCCTTCTCCCTCAGTAGTCAGTAAGCTGGACCCCACCTTTCTCCCTAAGGTCAACTCACCCTTCCCAAAATCTGTCCGGCGCCCTCCCCTGAGAGGGAGCGCCTTTGGCACCGGCTAGACTTCGTCGTGCCTTGCACATTTATCTCCAACGCACATCTTCCTTCCGTAGGTCAGAGGCCCTTTTTATTTCATTCCAGCATGGCTCCTTGGGGACCAGAGTTTCCTCTGCCACCATTGGCAGGTGGTTACGACAGGCCATCTCTACAGCCTACGAGTCCTCGGGCCGGGTCCCCCCTTCGGGGATCACGATCCACTCCTCACGGAGTGCCGCTACTACAGCAGCATGGGCCATGAGGGCTCCTTTCGAAAACATTTGTCGGGCGGCCACTTGGTCATCTCCGACACCGTTTATCCGCCACTACTGCCTGATGCCTTTGCATCGGCCGAGGCGTCTTTTAGGCGTAGGGTTCTACAATGGGTAGCGACCACCTTTCCCCCCCCGAATCCTAGTTTCCCTCCCAGGGACTGAGTTTGGGTACGTCCCAGGAGTCGCCCCTCCCTCAAGTCTACCGGAAAAAGAACGTTGGTCGTAACCTGAACGTTTCTTTTCGGTAGACAAGAGGGAGGGGCAACACCCTGCCCTAGTCAGACGCAGGTGATAGTCAGTCGGGGTGAGGGGCGGGGGGGTTCCGTTGCTGGTGTCTGTTTTTTTGGCAGCATGTTCTGCCAAATGCGACTTCGAGGACGTGGGAGCCACAGGGAAAGGAGGAGTTTAAAAGAGATTTCCCCCAGTCTTTGGACCAATCAGGCTGTGAGAATATCCCAGGAGTGGTCCCTCCCTCTCGTCTACCGAAAAGAAACGTTCAGGTAAGGACCAACGTTCTTTCTTACTGAGCCGAGGTGGCGCAGTGGTTAGAGTGCAGTACTGCAGGCCACTTCAGTTGACTGCTATCTGCAGTTCGGCGGTTCAAATCTCACCGGCTCAAGNGTGGATGCTCCCTTGATTGGGAATATTTTTTTACTCTCTTGCTGAAGGTAGAACCATCAGTATCTTTCCACAACTTAACTAAAGCAAGCATTACAAGAGGTGAAGAATTCCAAATCTCTTTAAGCAGCCTTTTGGGGCCTTTTTGAAATAAAGCGATATTGTCCTATATGGCAGTATAGGACAATATCAAGATGGGCAAACCAATAAGCTACTCAGAAAATCTTAACAGGGTTTGTTTCACATCAGATTCCCTAAGGACCAATGTTTCTGCAATCAGACTCCCCCAAAAACAAGACAGCCTCTTAAACCATGGTGGGCTTCCCACTCCTACAGTAACCAAAAAGCCCCTTCCAGAGCCCTTCCTATTACGTCTTGGCTAAAGCAGAATGTTCCGGGAGCATCTTGTGGATGTAACTGGAGAAGCATCTTTCCACTTTTGTTAATGCAATCACCATGATGCAATTGCAATGTTCAGATTTCC